GTTGGTTACCATCTGAGCTACCTAAACCCTAAACCAATAAACCCAAAACCCTAAACCCCAACCCGAAATTCTAAACCCCGAAACCCCTAGACCCTAAACCAGTAGTGCTGGCAAGGTGCTCTTCCCTGTGGCCCTCCGCAGCAAATGGGTTTGGTGACGTGTCGCTGTCCTGGGACTTCGGGGTCTAGAGTTCGGATGTCTAGTAGTTTGGGCTTAGGAGTTTAGGGTTAGGGTGTAGGGGTTAAGTAAGGCTGTAGGTTTATATGGGTGTAGGGTTCAGGCTGTTTACGGTAAGGCTTATGGGGCTTGGGTTTTAGAGGGCTGCTTCAGGTTGGAAACCGACATGTTTAGCGAGCGGACATGGTCCACAACCTTTACGAAGTACTGTATAAGGGCATGGGGATCCCAAGTAGACGTGCTAACCTCTTAATGGCTCTTGACCCACAACTTCTAATCAGGGCACCTTGGGCGGTTCCCTAGGAATCAGGAAGTGGACATACTTGGAAGATGCGGTTCGGATACAGCATGTCTGCAAGGGTTTCTGTCGGAGTCTGTTGGATTGTCGAGGCTTTCGGGTGCAATGTGCAAAGGTGTATGAAAACAGCTCTCCAGATAAACCCAAAACCCAAAGCCCTATGCCTATGCTCCGAACATGCCGCCTGGTCACTAAGCCGTCAGAAAGAAGCTTCTTGAAGACCTGCGTCGGCTGGCGAGGGCTTTGGGCTCTAGCAGCGTAGGAAACCCCAAACCTAAATCCTGAAATCCTGTAGTAAGTACTGATCCCTACATTTGCCCTGAGCTCTTGCTCACAAACCCTAGATAGTTCACCCCAAACGCGTGGAGCTTTTTTTATGCCGGAATGTTGTCTGTTATTTGCCTGAAGGGTTGGGGGTATCCTAAAGCTCAAGGCTTTAGGGCTTGGGCTTAGGATTTTAGGGTGTTTCCATTCTTTCGTTCTGTCTTTCTTTCTTTCGTCCTTGCTGTGGGGTTGCCTTTACTCCTTTCTTTCCTCTCCCTCCTTTCTCCCCTCCGCCTTCTGCTTCGTTTTATCTTCCCTTCTTCCTTCCTTCTGCCTGTCCTCCCCCAACCACCAAAGAATAACCAATCACAGGTAAACACACGCCCTCCACCCCAAACCCTTTCGCCGTGGAGTGGGTTTCTAGACAACTCTCAGGCTGTGGTTGACCTCCTAGCTACCGGCTTGTGCTTTAGATGTCCAGGGCCCCTGTAGCTTACAGGGTTCTTTGTTGGGAAAACCCATGAGTTTTAATATAAGAGGCTAGGTAAGTAGGTCACAAGTACGGAGATAAGGGCCTTAGTAATTAGAACAGGGTTGAGGGGTACATATTATACCATATTTATAATAAGGAACCCCCAACACCCTATTCTAAATATTAAGGCCCCTACAGTGCCTGGCCCATCGCTGTGGTGTTCTGAAGGGCCACGATTTCAGCCTCCTTGCTCTTCTCGTCCTGGAGGTTGCGGCGTTGGGCTCAGGGTTCAAGGTTTAGGGATTATGGTTTAGGATTTAGGTTCGGGGTTTAGGGACTCAGGTTTAGGGATTAGGGTTCGGGGTGTAAGGTTTAGGGAGTATTTTTTTAAAGAAAACTCTGTGGAACTGTGCACTCCTCCCACTCCACACGCGCACCGGCCTGCCCTCCACTAGAACCTTAACGACTCACTCAACACCCGCATCATCGACAACGCCACCATCCACAGGACGATGGACGATCAGGAAGTAGCCCTTAAACCCTAAAGCCTAAAACCCTAAACGCTAAAACCCTAAACCCAAAACCCTATAGAGTTTAGGGTTAGGGTTCGGGGTGTAGGGCTTGCCAGGTAGGCTCTGGAGATTCGGAATCAGGGTTGAGGGTCCTGACCGGTCTGGACCCTTCAGTTGCGGCCTTTGTTCAGGATCTAGGGTTTAGGGTTTAGGATCAGCCGTGTCTTAAGGATCATAATTTCCAAAATCTAGAAAAAAAAGTTAGCTGTTTCTTAGGGATCATAATCACAAAAAAGCTCAAAAAAGTAACAAGCTGTTTACAAGTACCCCCAAGGTAGGGGGAGATCTCCGGGTCGGGTGTCCCGGGCCCCGTGCTGGGCTTGGGAGGTTCGGCCTCGGGGGCTCCAAGCTGTGGGATTTTAGGGGTTCAGGCTTTAGGGTTTAGGGTTTAGGGTTCAGGGTTCAGGGTTTAGGGTTTAGGGTTCAGGGTTTAGGGTGTCTGATGATACCCTTGCCCAGAGGCTCCTGAGTAGTTCTTTTTTTGTGGGCTTATATTTAGGATCCTACAAAGTAATCCCAAAAAGGAACTACCAAGGAGCCTATGGGTATAGCACCAGTGCTCATATAGAACCTTTCTACGACCCTTGTAGTACACTTACAGAACCCTGTAGAACCCTTACCTGAAATCTTCGAGGTGGAAGGGCCCAGAAGCGCGCAAGAGCCACAAAAGGCCCCAAGGATCTACTGCCCTAACTCCACACAAATATCCCTAAGACTCCAAGCATACAAATAGTACCCACTTTGGGGTCTAAGGTCTATAAATAGCACCTTCTTTGGGCTATTTGGAGTCTTAAGGTATGTAACCTACCCTGTTAAGGATTTATATTCATATTGAAGACATCTTGGTAGGTAAGGAGCGAAAATTGTAGGCTTCGTGGGGGCCAGGTAAGCCAAAAATAAGACTCTTCTGGCAGACCCGGACAGCCCCGGTATGCAACTCAGAAAGAAAAGGTGCCTTGAAGGTGCTGATGGCAAACCCTGTCGGGGAATAGTCCACCTTGGCCGGCAGGCTTGATCGCCCTGAGCCCTGCTACGCCAGAGCCGCTGATAAGAACCCCACGGGTTCTGGGGGTGTCGAGAATTTCGGGTTCAAGGGCTTGCCCTAAGGGTCCATGTACCCAAATAGTATATACTTAGGGCCCCAATGTATCTATATAGGGACTACTTTTAAGGCCAAAGTATACACTATTTTGGGTACATGGACCCTTAGGGCTTAGGGTCCAGAGGGCCATCGCTAGAGAACAGAGGCTCCTGCTTTGATCTCGTGGCCAACCATTCTTCGGGTTCGCGCCGTGAACCTAAATCGTACGTGCAGCCTGACGTTTCAGGTTCAGGTGGTAACCTCAAACCGCCATATCCTGCTTGTTTCGACTTTATTTGTTGATTCTTACTATGAGCCCTAATGTTGGCCCTAAACCCTAAACCCTAAACCCCAAACCAGTAAACCCTAAACAGGGACCCGTCAAAGCTCTGAACCGCTTGCTCGAAAGCCCACGGGCCGGCAGCAGCGCTCACTACAGACATGCTCTATAGAGCCACGGTTTAGGGTTTAGGGTTTAGGGTTATAGATATACAGTTGAGGGGAGGGCACTGGAGATTCAGAGCTTAGGGTTCGTCGCATCTCCACCCCTAAACACAAAAGGCAAAAATCATGGCATCTGTGACACTTATGCCCAAACTGCTCGCAGTAATCGAGCCTGGCCACAAAGTCGCACTCCTTGCTCAGCTTGTATGCAGCCTTGGCCGTGCTACGGGCACTTACGACTTCCGACGTGTAGCACTTCTGCTACGCGGTCACGGACTACCCCTATGGCCCCAAGAGGGGCCACGGAAGTCCCTAAACGCCTAGGTGCACACCACATATGCAGGTACATGAAGCCCTATAGAGCTGATAGGGAATCGGGCACAACCCCACAAAGAGCCTAAACCCTGAGCCTAGACTCTAAACTCGTGAGTTTAGGAACATTTTACACGGAAGTCTCGTGGTCTCTCTGGGTAACGTAAGGGCCTGAACAACTAGAATGGGGAGGGTGTGGGGGGGTATATTATACGATCACAATATTCAGGAACCGCAAGATAGTATTGATAATTTCTTTTGGGGTTATAGTAGACTATCACTATAAGTATTAAATCAAGGAACCCCAAGGTAGTAGTGATATTCTTGGGACCCCATACTCCTCAACCCTTAAACCGTGCGACCCTCATCTTCCTAAGGCCCGGACAAAGCAGAATACCTTAGGGTGGTGCTAGGGTTTAGGGTTTTAGGGTTTTAGGGTTTAGAGTTTAGGGTTTAGGGTCTAGGGTTTAGGGTCAATCAAGGACTCTGAGTCCCGGAACTCTAAGCTGCGAAACCCTCAGCCCTAATGGTGGGGCCTTTATGATTAAGATAGGGTTTTTTGGGGTTTTTCATACTATATCTACAAAAGAAAAGGGTCTTGGGGTCCTTGATACTAGAACTAGAAGAAGGAACCCCCAAATATTATGGGTAATTACTTAGGCCCCTGTTTAAAACTCCTGCAGAACCCCCCCCCCCCTCTTGGTAGGTACACTGGGCCCGAAACTCTCCTCGAGCCTTCTAGGAAGCCTTCACGGAAAACTTATAGGAACCCCTTCAAGGAAGCCTTCTAGGAACCCTTCAAGGCAGCAGATATGCTAAGCCTCTGCCAGGTCGCTGCCCGGGAAATCAAGCAAGACTGCTCTGCACCACGACCCATGAGGGCGAAAGCGATGCTCTTGCCCTTCCTCAGTGGCTTCACCCATTCTTCGTGGAGCGTTATAACTTTAACTTACGGTTTAGAGGTCTTGGTCTTGTGATTCGGGGGAGTGGGGGACTTCTTTCGTTCCATCGTCTTGATGCCTCGACACCTGTCAGGATACGCTTCTTGCTGCATCCTCGCCTTGGCACTTGCAAGAAGCTTTAGCTTCTGAACTCTGAGCTGTACAGCAAGGCTTATAGCCTAGCGGGACGTTGGGCTTGCAACAAATTTACAAATGTGTGACTTCAACGTCTTGCTTGAGTCACCTGTTCCGCACCTCCAAACGAAGGCCTTGAACAAGAATATGGGCCATCCCCCCATCCTGGCAAAGATCAGAGGAAGACGAGCCGCCTGTCGCAGGAACAAAAACCCAGTTCCGGTCGTCTGGAGTTGAGCACACCAGAAAAAAAAAACATGACGCCTGGCTCTCTGGCGCAAGAAAACTGTCTATCTCAGCAGAGCTAGCGGCAAGCAAGCAAGCTGAGAATCATGAATCCAACATTCAAGTGCACTGCTGCTGACGAATCTGACGAGCTTGCGCCTCCGGTGCATCCGGGGAAAGCAACGAGCCAAGATGACGTGCCGTTGTCCACTGGGTTGCAGGGGCCCTGCTCAAAGACCTGCGTCGTTGCCTCGCCGGTGCAGTCATTAGTGCTGTACACGTTGTAAGCGATGGACCCTTCCATGCAAGTGAAGTCTTGCGAGCTGGTCGAGCCGGTCATTGTGCAGGGACCCAGATCGATGGAGTGTGTCCCATCAAGCACTGAACAGCCGCCGTCCGTGTAGATGCTGATGTTCCCTGAAATCCCTGCAAATGCAGTCGTTGTGGTGGTAGTGCAGAACTCTGCAACTTCATCGTCGGAGCCATCGAATATCGCCCTCCGCCGGATGCATAGCACTTCTTCAAATCGGTGGGGCGGCCTCCGCACATCTGGCTGCCGGTACAGTCGCTGTTGCTGTAGTAGCACGAGATGCGCTGCTCTCCGTAACATGTCGGCATACGGCTGAGGAATCCGTCGACGTCATTCGAGGCAACGCAGAGCATAGGACTCAGGTATTTACTGAGAGGTGCACCAGAACAGTTCTCATCGCCCACATCGTAGGGGACGTCGAGCATCCCAGGAGCTGTCACCAACTTCACCTTCTCGTACACACCTGTGCTAGATTCCACGCACTGGTCCAGCGTCCATGTTGTGTTGGAGAGGGCTGTATCGGAGCATTCGGCAGCAATATTGAATGCGTGTGTATATTCGATCAGTGCCGTACCCTCGACAACGTAGTGTTTGTTAATATTGCCATTGGCACCTCCACAACCGAGGCCCATGGCTACTGTTCCGATGCGCCCCAGCACGGTGGTTTCGGTCCTTGATTGACCACAAAAACACAGCCTAAAGGTCAAACTAAACCCCTTCACTCCGCAAGACTCACATACTTGCCTGCCAAAGGATCAAGTTGTTCGTGCAGTCGCTGCTGGAGAACTGCTCTTTGACGGCCCACTGGATGGACGAAGCAGAAGCATCTGCCCTCAAAACGGCTGAAACGAACACCAATGCTCTTGCCAGCATTTTGTCCGAGTAGGTCAGGTGTCAGATAGCCACAAGGAGCAGAGGTTTTGAGCCAAAAGCGACTGAACGAAACCGAGTCGGAAAGCTTCATCGTCAAGGCTCCAACTACGCCTGAACCCTTAAAGTCGCTGATTCCTCCGCGGACCTCTCCGTCCTTCATGAACTCGACAGCCAGAAGCCCTGAAGCCCAAACCGCAAACCCCCGGACCCAGGAATCTTTAAAGGACTCCGCAACCTTCCTCCTCAACCGTAAACCCTAAACCTTTTAAAGCCCCAAACCCTAAAACCCTA